TCACAGACACACACACTCTCTCACTCACACACACACACACACACTCACACACACACACACACTCTCTCTCTCACACACTCACACACACACACACACACACTCGCTCACTCTCACAGACGTGCAGCTACTATGAGAGGAACGCAGCTCTCTCACACACACACACTCACAGACACACACACTCACTCTCTCCCACACACACACTCACTCTCTCACTCACACACACACACACACACTCACACACACACACACACTCTCTCTCTCACACACTCACACTCACACACACACACACACTCTCACTCACACACACACACACTCGCTCACTCTCACAGACGTGCAGCTACTATGAGAGGAACGCAGCACAGACTCGCGTCACACACGTCAGCTACAGGACGCTCGGTGAACAGACACTCATGTCTCGGTCTGATGCTCAGCGCAGGCTTGAGCCACATGATGTTCATCGTCTGGTGAAGACCGAAGAGCAGCGGTGGGAACGGCTCAGACCCATCAGCTCCCAGCTCCTGCTCCAGCGCTGAACATATGATTACTGAGACAGTACTGTATTCACACACACAGAGCCTGAACAACCAGCCAACAACTGCAAACCTTTCACAAAGACTCCGACACAGAGAGGTGTGCTCGCAGACACAGCCGGACGAGTAGAGAGTGAAGCGCAAACTCTAAATGCATAGGAGAAAAATCTGCATTTCTAATGCAAGACTGATCTAACAACGAATGCTCGTGCTGTGGTGTGAATGTGTTCAGTGTCCGGTGTCACGAGCCTCACCTGATAGCAGCACTTGATCTGCTGCACGAGGAGCGACAGGTTCTGGATGCGCAGCGCCGGGTCGTTCTTCACCTTCCTCTGCACTCTCTGCACGCTGCTCTTTGGGTTTCTGTCACAACAACACACAGGTTTTTAGCAATGAAGTTCTATTTTTCATCAAATGTCAAGTTTTTATTCTGAGGAATATTCTTTCCTGTACTGTCTTTCAGCATCAGACTGTCACCTGTGATCTTACGGTCTACAGCAGTGGGCTACAGAGAAGTCCGGAGGGAACATCTGCACAATATTTGCTTTTAATGACCCGACAGGTTTAATTAAACCATCAAAATATGAGGAACTAAATATAGGAACATGTTATCACAAATGAAATGATTAACACAGAGCACATACATGCTCCAAACACAAGCACGCAATACGCTGAGAGACCCACATCAACATTACACCGGTGTGCTTGAACACAGGGCCACGATATCAGTTATCTGTAGATAAAACACAACCAAGCAGCAAGTCTCTTAATAGCTGTGACCGCTCAGTCACTTACTGGCGTCACTGCGGCGCTGACACACCAACACATCTAGATCTGAATCCAGAGCATCCCTCCTAACACAGGGGCCCTCAGCTCTGGCCCTCGAGGGCCGCTGTCCCCCCATAATTAATAAATGATGATCCTGTTTGCACATCTATATGGAAAATATTCAAGTGACCGCTGGGACGCTGACGTTTCTAGTGTTTGTAAACATTTCGCTTTATTTACCCGTATTTCTGAATCTAATAAATAAAATGTGACTTATACATGACTTATCTGATTTCTGTTTCTCTCAAAAACGTTATAGCGTAGCGTATTGTTAACCATGCAGCAAACGATTTAAAATATTTAGGAAAATTACTCAAAAAATACTTATTACTTTTTAAACACTTTATCTTTGTATTAGACAGTCAAAACTCTTACTGTGGGTTAACAGTTAACCGGTTATACGAGCATCCCAAACTGAGAACAGACTGGGTGAAAGCTCAGTAAATGTGAGAAACAGTGCACAGAATGCCATCTTCAGAACCGAACAGTGCTTTAACGTGAGCAGCACGAGCACGGAGAGGCTGATTCTCTCATTATTTCCGCGTTTGGAGTATCGATATAGTATTTATGCACTAAAGTTAAACGGCAAAAGATTGTGTCGACACTTGAGAAATTTGATCGATAAATGGCATTTCCATCAGCTATATCAGTAAACATTTTGAAGCGCTAAATCTTTTTTCCTCGGATGGACACCTGGCTACAGTCCTCACTTTACATTAAAGTACACTCTCATCCACAGACGGCTTGTTTCACTGCTTGAGAAATACAAGCAGCATGGCACAAAACTTCACATGCTCCTCGTCTCCTAATTAGGGCCCGAAACAGACAAATATTAATTCTGCTCTTTAAAACAAAGAAAAGAAGCAATGGTAAGAGAACAGTATGTGCAAACAGTGGGAGACACATGTCAAGAGATCAAATCCGATACTGAAGCGCACATCAGCCCGGTCACTTTAGTTAGTGTTCATGTAAACTCTATTCAGATGATTTGAAACAAACAGTGTCCATGTGAACACAGACAGTGATTCATGCTCAGCTGTCCACTCGGCTTCAGCTCACACTTCATCTGCCATCTGAGCATCAAGCACTGTGTGTGTGTGTGTGTGTGTGCACGTGTGTGTGTGTGTGAGAGAGAGAGAGAG